GCTTTAACCGCTGAGCTTCTTGGCCGGCCCAACGTAACATAACGTTTTTATGAGTCCACCTTCCTTTCTGTTGGACTGTATGAGGCAGCAGCATTAACTGTATTTTTGACCAAACCCTTTAAAGATCCTCATGAAAGAGGACTTAGAGAAATGTTTCAGAATGTGGCAAGGATAATGGCTAAGTGGATTTAAAGTGAGCAAGAGTATTTTGAAGAGGACTAATAACGATGTGTACTTTACTCCAGTACTTTTCAAAATCTAAGCATTCATCATTTATTTTTATTAGTCCGTGTATATTTGTTGAAGTCACCCAAGTGACATGTATTGACTCACTCAGAACCTGACTACGAATAACTCACTTCAAATTCCTCTTTTCACAGTTCAAGCTTCCCCCACCACCAACTGGCAGGGCTGCTAGGGTTTCTATCTCTACAGCCTGGGCCAGGCCAGATGCATGCTACATTGCAAAGCTGGGGTCAAATGCTGAGCTGAAGCAACTCCTGCTGCACTAATTTGGAGTTTTCCTTAGCCTTAGGGCTTCTTCTCATGCTCAAATTATTCTTCAGGGGCAAATCTCAATCACTGTCACACATTCTATAACTAACCCTTTCCTTCTCACATTTGTAACAGTTGAACAATGACAAAATATCTTTCCTCTTCAGTTTCTGAATGATAGTGGCCTGTCTATATTTTGGGTAGGATTATCAGAAGAAATCTTTCTGAAAACCTTTTAGTCTCTCAGTTAAAAAAATAATTTCTGAATTCCCAGCAACTACCTCTTATTATAAAAACTCATTTTTATAATGAGGAATACTTATGAAAAATTTAAAAACAAATTTAATTTTTGTATAGTAAGTGGTGTTTTGAAAACACTAGCAAAGATAACTAACCTAGCAAAGTCAACCAAAATTAATACTATTCCTAGTAGTAGCTTCTGGAACCAAAAGCAATTTCTTAGTCCAGGCAAAGACCAAACCTGCACCATGTGCATGCTCTGAGACTATTAATACCAGCCTGATGTTACTTGAGACCACAGGAG